GCATTTGACTGCTAACCAGATGGCTGGCAGTTCAAACCCACCAGCCACTCCTTGGAAGGAAGACTGGGCAATCTCCTTCTGTAGAGATACTGCCTTAGAAACCCAAGGAGGACTCACTGTGAGTCCAGTAGACTCGAAGGCAGTGAGTTGGGTTTTTTGGTTTTAACCAGTTTCGGACTGTCTTCAAGGTGAGGGTTAAATCCCTTATCCCTGCCTATTAGACGCTTTGTGACCTGGCCCCTGCCTGTCTCACCAGCCTCAACATGTACTCCATAAGCACTGGGCTTTTGTATTTTGTATCAGAATGAATTGTAAGTGTTGTAGAAGAAATGGCCGCTTTGTGATTTTTATTTATCAGTGATTGAGGCTTGTCTTCTAATCTCTAGTGTTGAGTTTCCTTCTTCTAAGCTCCCAAGATGTCATAGGACTTTGTTATTTTTCTTCTATTTAAGCAGATTGTAGTTTTATGTAAGCAATATAAGTGTTTATACAAATGAGGAAGAAAATATCCAACAAATGAAATATTATTTACAAAATAATTAAATTATTTTCACTGTTGTTCATGGCCACAAAGAAAGGAAAATCATTCCTGAATAGATCTTGAAATTTTCATTTTTATCAGCTAAATTAAGTTGTAAGTAGAAGGCAGCACTTTTGTTTATTCCGGTTCCTCAACCATTATGTCCAGACTGGTGTGTGAGATACTGATAACCTCCTAAAGTGGGTTGTCTGCTCCTTTTACCTGAGGGTGCTGGACAGAAGGGTTATTTATTGTTTTCTCTAAGTGCTGTGGTATGACATATGTTAAGAAGCATTGGACTGGATGATTTCTTAAAATTTGGGGGTAAATTAGTTGCAGGGTATACCTGTCAGATGGTTAATATGTGCCAAAGAAAACTCCAAACCAAACTCATTGCCATCTAGTCGGTTCTGGCTTATACCCAACACCACTGGGTTTCTGAGGATACAGAAGTATACTGCCCCATCTTCCTTTTGTGGAGCAGCTGGTGGGTTTGAACTGCTGACCTTCTGATTACCAGCTAAATGCCTTATCTACTATGCTACTGGAGCTCCTTAATATGCACATTGCTCCTGCACCAATCCCCCTCTGAGTGGTTGATAGTGGTAGCCAGGCACCATCTAGTTCTTCTAGTCTCATGGTCATATAGGCTGAGGATCACATGGTCTACTAGTCCCTTGGACTAATTGTTTCCATGCATCTGTGATTTTCTTCATTCTTCTTTGCTCTGGATGAGGCGAGACCCATCATTACATCTAGATGGTCACTTGTAAGCTTTTAAGACCCCAGTCGCTACTCATCAAAGTAGGATGTGGAACAATGTTTTTGTGTAGTATGTTATGCTAGTTGAGCTTGATGTCCCCTGTGACCATGGTCCTGAACCCACAGGTGCAGCTACTCACTTCCTCAGGGTAGCTGGCTGTGGTCAAGAAACCACAGCCCCTTGTCAGCTGTACTATACACCTGGATATTCTTACAGAACGTACAAATACACATGTAGAAGCATTGTGTGCCAATCCTATACATGATCATGGGCACACTACCCCCTGCCTAGACACCTGATCATTCAGCCTATCCACCCATTTATCTACCCATAGATGAATGCTTGCCATCACGGACAACGCAGTACTGTATATGCAAAAGGGTTCATCTTTGTTGTCTGTATTGCTGTATTGAGTCTTCTGATTTCAGGTGAATCATTGGAAAGTGACCTATAGAAAACATTAGTTTGTGTTTTTCAAATATTATGGGAAAAATAGATACTACTTTTATTGAGAGGTCTTGAGCACTGAAGAAGTTCATGCCCAAAAATCACAGAAGGCAAAGAATGTTGAAGTACACCTAGTACAGAGGGGGAGTGTGGCTGCTCAGTTTTCACCAATTGCTGTACTTGGGACATGTAGACTTTCTTGGTTCATTCATGAAGCAAAACTGATCATTGACTTATCAAACATTAGTGCCAGAAATAGCTGAGCAACCAGGTTCCAGGGTGTCTGACTCACTTATTAGAGTTTAAATTTGAGTTGTAAGGCAACGTGAAAACATCCTAAGTCAGTGTAACCTAAAAGATGTTTCTAAATATTGGGTAATATTTTTTCATCACCTTTCTTGCAGTGTAGAACACTGACATATGCTGTAAACCCCAGAGCAGGAGTAATACGAGGTATACAGTAACCATGAATGCTTTGTTTGGAATTAAGAATATTTTTTTTTCTTCCATTCTAGGTTGGTGATGTAGTAGAAGTACATGCAGATGAAACCTTTCCTTGTGATCTTATTCTTTTATCATCAGGCACCAGTGATGGAACCTGTTATGTCACTACAGCCAGTCTTGATGGAGAATCCAATTGCAAGGTAATAGAACATTTTGAGCTCAGGATAGTTAATCATACAATACTGATATCTACCACCCCTAATCTTTCCCCTTCTTTTTTTCCTGTTATGTAGGTTTTGTATTTGAAGGCTGCTTTTATGTAATTTGTTTTTGGACTTCTAGGCAAATATTTGGCTTTTGGGGCACAGAGTGGTATTTGGGTGGGGGAAACCATGCCCCAAATAAAAGCCACCATGAATTTCATAGCACTGCCTACATTTAATATTGACATAATCTATTTAATATTTTATTTAGACTTTTAGAAATGGGAGTACTTGTTACTGGAGCTGTAACTACAAAAACAACTTTATGTACTCTGACCATACAGTTTGATCGGTTTTTATTTTAAAAGTGATAGATATTTGCTTAAAGAAAGTGTTTATTTCTGGGATATTACAAATCTAACCAGGAGTAATTTGATTGCTTTTTTTTTTTAATACCATAGGGTATAGTTTAGCAAATGTTTGTTCTGTTGCAGCTAAGAAAAATTATAAACTTGTTAGAATAAATTACTCAAACTGGGGGATAACTACCTGTTAGATGACTAATTTCGTACCACAAGGGCATTGTGCTGGATTAGTTGCTGTTCAAAGTTTTGTTTTAAGGAATGTCAAGATAAAAATTTCTACCTGACAATTCCCAAATAAGGGAAACATTTGTTAAGAGGAAGAAAAGGTTCAAGTTTTTTTTTTTTAAATCAAATAAATTGATTTGATCAAATCAGGTGAAAATATAGAGGTTTTCAAAACCAGGAGATAGGTTTAAATATAGCTCAGGCAGTTCCATAATATTCCCCAAAGACCATGGCAACAGCTTTCCCATTGTGTAAGTGATGCACTCTGAGGCTGCATTAACTGTTACTTGATGATTTATAAATCGGTTCATTGGAGCCTGACTTGAGTTCTGGATGAATCAAGTGCATAATCCAGAGTAGTGGAGTATTCTGACTATAGCAAAACACATCTTCTCCCTGCCCCCGTTGGAAACGTAGCCACTTTGAACATTTTCAAGATCATTAATTATGCTATTTGTATAATGGAGCTGTTAATGATTTTTTTTTCTTGCTTGTGGGAAAATTTTCACATTCTTATGATTGGAAGAGTTATGTTCAATTCACATATGTATGTATATCACCATTCAGTAGAAACCAAAACCAAACTCACTGCCATTGAGTCAGATCCAACTCATAGCAACCCCTCCTTGGGTTTCTGAGGCAGTATCACTATGGAAGTAGATTGCGCAATTTGGTGAGCAAATTAATAGGTTTCAGTAGAAAAAAATAAGTTTATTGAATTTTTCATGGGGTTTTCAGTTAATTATATGTATGCTGCAAATGAAATCCTCTCAGCTGCCAGTGTTAAGAAAAACTTCAGTATTTTTTAAAAAACTTTACCTTTGAAACCCCCTTACAGAAGGATTGTCTTTCTAGTTATCTGTAATATCTTTTAAGAATAATACCATAACACTTACTTGGTGGGGAATGTGCATTAATATTCATATTATTTTGCCAAAGCCACTTAGTAAAACATACTGTGCTTTCATCTAGACACATTATGCAGTACGTGATACCATTGCACTGTGTACAGCAGAAGCCATCAATACTCTTCGAGCAGCAATTGAATGTGAACAGCCTCAACCTGACCTCTACAAGTAAGAATCACCTGGTTTCATGTTAATACTATCTGTTGGCTATGCTTCTCTTTGCCTGCAGTATTGCAGAGAAATACCCACCACTTAGCCAGCTTATTCTCATTTGTGTTTTTATGAGCTGTTCCTTCCTTCTGGCAGTAAAATGAATGAATCAAATCAGTTTTGTTCACTGCCAGCTCAAGATAAATCATTGTGGGCCAAAACTTCTTATTTATGATTTTTCTTCTATTTTTGTTATTTGTAAACATGGACATCCATCAAATTTTTAAATCCCGTTTTCCCTTAAGTCTTCTCTGTCAGACTGACGCAGTTACCAGAGTTAATGACAACAAAAATAAACCATTTAGTTGTCATCCAACATCAAAGAGAGAAGACGACACAGGTCATGCAGTTAGCTCTGTTCTCCTTTTTTATGATGATCTTGATTAGCTGAGGATTGCAAATAGGCTATTTCTTATTCATAGCAAATAGTTAAGTTATAGAACCAAAAATGGTGTGATTTCCTCAATTCTACCATATTTAAGCTCCCTGGAGTAGATTCACTCATTAACAATCACTGTGGGTTGACAAACATCTGGCATTTGATTTTAAGACTCGTTGATTAGATGACATTGCTAGTAAGGGTAGAGTAAAAGTTTTTATCTACACATGGACCAATTAATTTCATTCTTGTCCATTGTTACAAATGGCATCCATAACCCATGCCAGCCACGTTGCTCATGCATACTGTTGGTCTTAGTAGGGCACATAGTGGTTGCATGCAGCTGGCACTAATGCCCAGTAGTGGGAAAACAACATTTATCCTACTGCATTGTCCCTCCCATCTTTCCTCTTTTCCTATATTACCTTAATACTAGAAACCAGGGCCACAAAGTAAAACAGATATTCTCTGCCTTCTGGGAGCTCACGGTGAGCAAAGTAAATAAAATAGTAATGCCAGGCCTATAATAAGTGAGATAGTAGAGGGAAGTGCAAGGCCCATGGAACCACAGAAAAGGAAGTAACAGATTTTGCCTGAGTTAGAAAATAATACACACCTTGCATATTTCTGGGAGAAACACCCAAAATTGTCATTGCCCTTATATATAAAGGAGAATTTTAGGGACATTATTCCAGATTTCCCTGGACTAGATTGCGTGCTCTTGCTCTGTGACTGCATTTCCACTGCTTAGTGGTAGTAACTTACATTGCAATTGTTTGTTACTTGTCTGTGTTTCCTACTAAACTGTGAACCCTGAGAGGGCAGGGAGCATGTCTGTCTTTCTTCTCAGTATATTTCCAGCACCTACTATAGTCTGAGCACAATGAATCTATGATGAAAGAATAAGCAGATCCTCATACTTTCTGTATATAGTGATATAAAATAGTTTTGTTTTTTTTTTGGAAAAAAAGTGCTGTTTATAATCTATACTGTAAAGCACTCATAGCACTCTTGTTAAGGAAAGGTTAGACCTTTTTTTGCCTCGTTTTGTCTTTTTCCACCCCATTGTACAGAAGAGGAAATGGAGGCACAGTGTGTTCACATGTGCCCAGCCATATGACGTGATTTAGTTAAGCACAGTAATGAGATCCACTGTAAGACAGAGGCAAGAAACTTTCCAGGTTGTTATCAAGAGTTCACTCTAAGACTGCTGATACGGTTCTCAGCTGGTAGCCCCTTCAGCAGCAGCAGCAGCAGCAGCACTTGGGAACTTGTTGGGAATACAAAGTCTCATCTGAGTCAGAAGCGCAAGAGTGGGGCTGTGCCATCTGTGGTTTAAGGAGCCCTCCAAGTTTCCCCAACTTGTTCTGTCCACTGTATTCACTGCCCTTGCGCATGCAGTGGGCTCCAACTGATTCTGATAACGTGCCAAGTGTAAGAACTACTGAACTAATGTTTGAAAGTTGTGACTCCAGAAACCTTTCTTCACATGAATCTAAAATAGAAGCCATATTATTTCTATCAAGGTATAAAGAAGACTGTATGCATGCCCGTTGCCAAGTGAAGTTTAAAAATCAATTTAGAAATTTTTTTATGTTCTTATAAGTCATAATACTATCTTAAAAAAATCAGTTTAAAATGTTATACACCTTACAGTTCAACATGACCTTCCTTCAGAAGTATAACAGGTTTCTGTAGTTCATTCAGAGTTGTAGCTCTCTTTTGTATTATTTGTATTTTGCTTCTTTTCGATATTTGTGGTGTATGGATTTTACCTGGATGTAGAAAACACATTTCCTGTTATGTTCTTTTTACAGGTTTGTTGGGCGAATCAATATCTATAGTAATAGTCTTGAGGCTGTTGCCAGGTTAGTTACTCCTTTATTTTGTCCTTTTGTGGGAGTATAATTGTCTTTTAAGCCCATTATGATAGTTAATTTCTTTTGAGAAAGTGATATAAAGGTGAGTAAACATGGAGTAAGTAGTCAGTATCCCACTAATGGGTCTTAAGTAAGTAACTAATCTTGTGATTGGTAAGGTCTCTGAGTGTGTGTAGCAGCACGGGGGAGTGCCAGGGAGGATGTGGAAAATGATGCTTAACAGAGCTTCAGGCACTTTGACTGATTTTCCCTAACTTGTTCTGTGCACTGTATTCACTGCCCTTGCGTATGCAGTGGCTGCCAGTGTTGGGAGTATACCTGGAGAACAGTGTGTTTAAGGGAGAGTAACTGAGGTACTGCGGGGTGGGCACAATGCTACGAGAATTACCTGGACTTAAGTAAAATGAAAGACTGATCGCTTGTAATCGGTAATTCATGCAATAAGAGTTGTTTTCTTCCCCCCTCCAGTTAATCACCTCAACTTTACTATTTGGTCTTTTTAGCCACAGTGGAAAGGAAATAAAATAATTGCAAGGTGCCTAGTAATCCCCCCCAAAATTGGTTTAGTCTCTAGAAATGTATCTTCCCACCTGACATTGGCTTTCCCAGGCTCTTTTTTCTGTCGCCCTCTATTTCTATTTCTCCCTGTCCGCTTCTCTGCACTCTTCTTATCTTGTGGTCTCTGACTTAGCATGTCTTATCTCTGTGCATCTCTTTATCTCTACGTGTTGTTGGCTTCCATCTGTGTTGTACCCTCAAGTAACTTCAAAGGAAGGGGATCTGTGAGCTTGTCCTGTGGACTACACATGTACTATAAGTAGACAGATACATTCTGATCCCCTTGGAGATAGATAGGTGCCAGAGCAAAATATGTCCCCAGAGTTGATGACATATGTTGGGTTGTTTGAATAAGATGTGTTCATTTTTTGTTTAGGTCTTTGGGACCTGAAAATCTCTTATTGAAAGGAGCTACACTAAAAAACACCAAGAAGATATATGGTAAATAATTTTAAAGATATCAGAACTATGCTTTGTAAAGCGAGTGTATAAATAGTACATGTTAAAAACTGAACATGGTGGGTATTGCTGTTAAATAAAAATCTATTTTAGGTGTTGGGCATTTACAAGATGGTGAATTTACATGAAATATGATAAGTAAACTATTTAGAATTAAATTACACTATAAATGTTATACCAACTGGTGAGTAGAAGAGGGCTTTGAATTCTCACTTTTATGAACATAAACATTAATAGAGCTCACTGGATGAAGAGTTGTTTGGCAAGCTCAGTTGTAACCTCATTTTCATTGTATTCTGTTATTCCTTAGGAGTTGCTGTTTACACTGGGATGGAAACCAAAATGGCTTTAAACTACCAAGGAAAATCTCAGAAACGTTCTGCAGTTGAAAAGTTAGTGTACACCACAATCTCTATAGTCATTATTGATCTGAAGTAGTTGCTTCCTCCGTAATTCCAGTTAATACAAAACAGCATCAATAGTAAAAACAGCTACCATCTTGAACACTTCTTATGTTCTAGAAACTGCTCAGTGATTTGTATATCTGATTTTGTTAGTCATGTGAATAACTCTATGAAATACTTCCCATTAGCCTTTCTATTTAACAGATGGGAAAATGATCTCAGATGTTAAATCACTTAGCTGAGCTTACCCTACTATTTACGGGGAAGCCTTTATTTTTTTATTTTTTATTTTTTTTATTGTGATTTGGGTGAAGATTTACAGAGCAAATTCACTTTCCATACAGCAGTTCACATATACTTTGTCTCATGTCATTGACCAG